CTGAGTCTCTTGCAAAACATCAGAGATTTTATTTTCTTTTCCTGTTAAGATTGCCAAAAGCCTTTGAGTATTACCCTGGGTTTGTACCATTTCTGTCTCCAGACCTCATCATGCATCCTGCCTGTGCTTGCCATTGCCCCCTGTGCAGGTGGTGCTGTGTGAGGCTGCTCTGGGAGGTGTTTTCAGCATGTTGGTGTTTGTGTGTTAGTGCCAGGGAACCCAGGGGTTAAGAAAGACAGCAAGCTAAAGCAGCTTTCACATCCCACATTAAATTCCTTCCTAAAGCCCACTTTTCCTTTTAGGCACAATTGCATTTGGAAATGGTGAACAGCTGATGTGTGGATGACATTGTGTGTTAAATTAGTAACAGATGTCATCCCTGTTGGGTTTTCTGTCACTTTGTTATAAACTGTGTGTTTTTGCAGCTTGTGTGCTTCGGGCTGGGGCTGCTCTGTCCTGGTTCCTACCCAAAGACCAGAACCTCCTTCTGTGCCAGTTCCTTTCAGCACAGCTTTCCTCTAGCAGCCTTGCTTATCCCTGAAAGTATGTATCTCTTTAAAATACGTATAAAAGCTAATTTGGCCTTCATTTCAGCTGGGAAAAACTGCGTGCACGGATTTTCTTGCTCGCTGAGATGTGCTGTCCCTGCTGGGTGCAGCCATGGGTACAGACCTTGTTCCTTCAGGAGATGAGGTTGCTGCTCTGGTGCCCTGCATCTCAGGGCTGGGGCCAGTGGCAGTGCAAGGAGTTGGGTTCTGCTCCTTCTGCTGCTCTGAGAGCCACCATTCTGCTCTGGAGGGAGAAGCTGCTCCATCCACTGGGCTTTTACAGGGGAGCTGGGCAGGTTTCCCACAGGGATCCCAATACACAGGGGGAGCTGGGCAGGTTTCCCACAATGATCCCAATACACAGGGGAGCTGGGCAGGTTTCCCACAATGATCCCAGTACACAGGGGAGCTGGGCAGGTTTCCCACAATGATCCCAGTACACAGGGGAGCTGGGCAGGTTTCCCACAGTGATCCCCAATACACAGGGGGAGCTGGGCAGGTTTCCCACAATGATCCCAGTACACAGGGGAGCTGGGCAGGTTTCCCACAATGATCCCAGTACACAGGGGGAGCTGGGCAGGTTTCTCACAATGATCCCAGTACACAGGGGAGCTGGGCAGGTTTCCCACAATGATCCCAGTACACAGGGGAGCTGGGCAGGTTTCCCACAATGATCCCAGTACACAGGGGAGCTGGGCAGGTTTCCCACAGTGATCCCCAATACACAGGGGGAGCTGGGCAGGTTTCCCACAATGATCCCAGTACACAGGGGAGCTGGGCAGGTTTCCCACAATGATCCCAGTACACAGGGGGAGCTGGGCAGGTTTCTCACAATGATCCCAGTACACAGGGGAGCTGGGCAGGTTTCCCACAATGATCCCAGTACACAGGGGGAGCTGGGCAGGTTTCCCACAGTGAGCCCAGTACACAGGGGAGCTGGGCAGGTTTCCCACAATGATCCCAGTACACAGGGGGAGCTGGGCAGGTTTCCCACAATGATCCCAGTACACAGGGGAGCTGGGCAGGTTTCTCACAATGATCCCAGTACACAGGGGAGCTGGGCAGGTTTCTCACAATGATCCCAGTACACAGGGGGAGCTGGGCAGGTTTCCCACAGTGAGCCCAGTACACAGGGGAGCTGGGCAGGTTTCCTGCAATGATCCCAGTACACAGGGGGAGCTGGGCAGGTTTCCTGCAATGATCCCAGTACACAGGGGGAGCTGGGCAGGTTTCCTACAATGATCCCAGTACACAGGGGGAGCTGGGCAGGTTTCCCACAGTGATCCCAATACACAGTGGAGCTGGGCAGGTTTCCCACAGGGATCCCAGTACACAGGGGGAGCTGGGCAGGTTTCTCACAATGATCCCAGTACACAGGGGGAGCTGGGCAGGTTTCCCACAGTGATCCCAGTACACAGGGGGTGCTGGCAGTCGTCTGCCTCTTGCTCTTTGGGCTTCCAGTGTCAAACAGCTGCTCTGTCATCGTGCTCCCTTTAGGAGTTAAACAGCTTGCAGGCTGCTCACTACTATCTGTTGTTTATGCTGCTCTAGATAGGAATACCAGCAGCTTCCTGTGACTGCTCAGGGTTGTTTTTCCTTTTTTTTCTCCCCACTTGCTCATTAAGAGGAGCTTCAATCCTGACCTGCTGTGTGAATGTTGATCCTGTATTGCAGAGGATGTGTCTGAGCTGTGCTTTAATCAGTGTCAGTTTGATAACATTGCAGTGATGATGATGTATAAAGCTGTTTTATGTGGCTGAATTGTGAGTGATGCCTGCACTAGTTTGCAAGAAACTCACTTGGCAGGTATGGATTTCCATGGTATGTGGTGTTTGCATTATGAGCATGTGTCCTTTGAACTGGATTTCTTAATTAGGATGTAATGTCACCGTGCTTGCATTCCCAGTGAATCTGACTTGGAAGTTCCTTTTTGTTGCTGCTGCTTTTGTGCTTTGATGAGTAGAGGCAGTGAGCAGCAGACTGTCACCCCTCACAGAAAGTCTAAATATTTAATCTGAGCCTTGAAGTTTCCTTGTCACAACTCATGCCAAGTTTTGTCCTTGCTGGTGACTTGTGTGTTGGAGCTTCCTGATTATCCTGGGTCACCTTTCCAGGGAGCAGGTTAGAGCAGAGGAACTTCTGAAACCTGTCCTACTTTTGGAAATGCTTCTGACCAAGGCTCAGAGCTGAGTAGATGCCTGAAGTATTACATGGCAGTTATTTGAATGTGTTCCTCAGTACTGACAGCAGGAGCCATCAGATCTTTGTTCTACCTGATGAGCTGGTGGCCAGAAGACATCTTGGCTCTCTGCCTCAAAATTGCAGGGTACTGTAATCATCATTTTTAGTAAGACTCCAGATTTTTGCAGCCTACAGGTATTCTCAGCAATTACAGAGTGACTGGCTGGCTGGAAATGCATTGGTGTTGGTTTTGATTAGCTTTCCTTCTTTGCTGAAAGATTTCCAGAGAGCATTTTCTACCCCCTCCTGGCCTGCAGTGCCTTGGAAAATGCAGGTCCTGCATCTCACAGAAGTGCATGCCCACCTCTGTCCAGCACCTGGTGGCTGAATCTCCCTTGATCTGCTCAGCAACCTTTGTGCATTCTGTTTGGCCGTGGCACAGAGCTGACTGTGCTTTAAGTGTTATTAACAATAATCTGTGCAACATCTATCACAAATTAGTGTATGATCCATCCTTTCATGAGCTCCTTTAGTAGTGCTGTAAACACATTAATTGCTGTGTTTTGCAATGGCTGGGGTGGCTCTACCACATTGACTTTTCTCTTGTCAAACCCACTGGGTCTCTACAATTCCCTTGGATTTCAGTAGCCTGCAACTTTCATAAATTAGTGATGATTCTGGCTTCAAGTTGATGTTAGTAAATCTGAAGTGTTCTAGCTGTCTGTGCTGAAAGCTTTGACAATTAAAGTCTGCTTCCTGATTTCCTATTATTCCCTGTGAAGATTCTCTGGAGTGTTTGCTTTCTGCAGAAGGGTGTGAAGTCATTCTTTACACCTGGAGAATTACTAATTACTAATTAGCTAATCAGAATGCCAGCCACCTTGGCCAGTACACCAGTGTTGTGTGATCTGCTGAGGGTATTTGGATTTGATTCTTTATTTCATGTGCTCCCAGTGCCTTTTCACCTTCACCTGCATTTCAGATGTGCTTCCTTGTTTTCATGGAAGGTTTGAAATCATGTTTGGGGCCAGGTACTCTTGCAGGGATTGTTTTTGTTTTTTTCTTGTACACAAGGTCAGAATGTTCCTCAAAACATGCTTTGTTTATTGCCTGCCTTGTGAATCCATGCAAAAAAAGCCCAAAAAACAAACCACAGCTGAAACATTATTTTTGCTGCAGGAAAATGTGGGTTTGCAGAAGTGTTTAAATATTAATCAGGATGACTGGTTAGTTACTTCAGAGTTTATACAGCATTTTCTCATTGGAAAAAGAAACTCTTTTTAACAGAGCAAAACAAAAGAGTTCTTTGCTTATAGTCTTTAGTCTAAAGGTTTGTTAAAACTTAAAATTGAGAATAATCTGCACAAAAGCACTATCAGCAGTGGTCAAGGATAAAAAATTGGCTGTGTTCCAGCAAATTGTTTTTTAGAGTAGTGTTAATTGTTGAGGGCCTGGATGGAGGATGGAGGGAACATGTTCATGGTGTGACATGCTTGGAACTGAACAAGAAGTTTCACAAGCTGTAGCTTTGGGCACCTGGGATTGTTCCCCTTGTTTCCATTGGTGTGCCTGGTTCTGAGCTGGGTGCCAGCCTGGCACTGCTGGGCTTCCCGTGTGCTGGGAGTGCTGCTTTGATGGGAAGCAGTTCCATCTGTTGGTTCTGTCCCCTGTGCCATCTCTGGTTTGTGAGCCTTCAGCGTGGGGCTGCAGAGCCAAGGGGAGGAGCTGCTCCTGCTCTGAACGGGCTTTTGATTGGGGTGTGTGTGGACTTGCATCTTCCTGTTGAGTCCTCATTGTAAGGAGGATGGGGAGAAGGCAGAGAGTGTGAGACAATTTAAGGAAGTAGCTTTAAATTGGCCTTTCAGCTGCACTTCTCATAAAAACAGTACATCTTCTGACTACAAAAGCTAGATTCAAATATTGGCCTCCATGCAGAGAATCAGAACCGGGTGCTGGGTGCCTCTTTGGCACCTGCCTTGGTGTGTGCCTGGGAGGGTCAGGTGTCTCTAAAGCTCTTGGATGGTTTGAAAGGGAGGAGGGGGTTTGTGGAAAGAAAGGAAAGCTTGTAAGGGAACCTGTGGTGCCGTGGCAAAGGCCGCAGTGGGAGCAGGCCCAGCAGAGGAGGGGATGGCCCGGCGGGAGCTGTGGTGTCCCTGCCATCGCTGCTCCCGGCCCGGGGCAGCTGTGGTGTCCCTGCCATCGCTGCTCCCGGCCCGGGGCAGCTGTGGTGTCCCTGCCATCGCTGCTCCCGGCTCGGGGTGCACACGCTGCCGTTGCCGTGGGCAGCCGGGCTCGCTGTACCTGCCTGCAGAGCTCCATCTAATGAACGCAGTTTGTTTCAGCTGGGGATACAAAGCGGCTTTATTCTGCCATGGTTGTGTGCCTGGTGTTGCACCCCAGCTGGGAACCACGGGCCCTGGGTTCAGAGCCAGCCTTCCTTCCCCCGGTCTCCTTAATAATACTCTTTCTGTTCTGACACAGGTTGTAGGTTTCTCCCTGTTTCTCCTGATAAATGTGTGCAGATCCTACAACCTTCTCTGTGTAATACCCTCACTTATTGACTGTGCTTTGCTAACCTGACTTTGCAGGTAATACACAATGAAATGCTTATCAGGATTTTTATTTTTTAATGTGAAAGTTGAGTATTTCCTGTAATTTTAAATAAAATGTTTTTTCCTCTTCCTGACTCTCTATGGACACCTGATCATAGGAGTCTTCCCATCAAAGTGCATTTAATTATAGAAGCTGTAACAGGAAAAAGACCCAACCCTGTGGTGGAGACTGTATACTTTGTATTAAACCTGTTTGCTTGGGTAAAACTGAACATGAAGGCAAAACTTGGATGCAACCAACGCTTTTAAGAAGCTTGTTCTCTTCTTCCCCTGTAATAAAAACTTTTGGGTCTAAATTTAGCCAGGAGAATCTATATTTGCCAGGAGAGCTATTTCATTTTCCATGACTTAAAGGACAGTTTATTTGAGAAGTAACTTTGTTTTAAAGAGATCTCAGTTGCTTTGGGACTCACTTCCATGTAGGATAAGTTTTATTGAATGTAACACAAGTCTGTTAAGGGTGGGGTGAGGTAGAGAGACAATGTTTCTCAATATGTAGCTTAAAATTGTAAAGAAACATAATGGACTTCCCATTGCTAGGAGGGTTTATCTGTCTGTAATTCGGTTTTTTCCCAGATGTTGTGCAATCATCAGCTGCTCACTTGTGGCTGCTTTATAGTTTTTGGAACCAGGTCGTTGTGAATTATCCGACTGTGTTGCCACAAGTGTCACTTAGAGCTGTGATTGAACAGCAGAGATTGGAGATTGGCTGTCTCTGCTGACAGTCACGGGGTGCTTTGAGCTAGGAGAGAATTCTGAAGGGAGCTGAACATCACATCAGACCCCACTTAAGGAAGGGTAGTCATTATATCTGTTTTTATTAAGTTTTTGTGACTTCTCTGCACAAGTCAGTGAAACTGGACCACATTGAGTGTCTCTAAGGATTGCTGTTAATTCCATTTTGTAGCGAGGACTCAGATGTAAATGTTAATTCTGTTTTCCTCTTGGTCAGCCATTCAAAGTGTAAAACTGTTGGTCTCTGTTCTCCACTTGGGATCCTCTTTTGAATTAACTTTATACATTTGAAAGAAAATCATGATATGTTTGTCTTGTGTTTTATAACCAGTGACTTTTCTGTTTGGACACAGTGAATTCAATTGTTGCAAAATTGAATTTGCCTGCCAGCATTTACAGAACTATATTTTTTTATAACAAAAGACTGTTTTTAGTGCAGGTATCAGCAAAAGGTGTAAAATATTATTGTCACGCAATTTCTGCTTCAGCGTATCCTGTTTTTCTGTGATCTGCATTTAAAAAATCAAAACCTAACAACACTAAATTCTGCATGTCTGACTTTTCTTTCCTGTGTGGCATTACTTAAAGGTAAACACTGCTCTCTTAATGTAGGTTGTGAGTGCTGCATGTGTGCTTTTCAGAGCAGTAGTGTGAGGAAGCTGGCAGTGGAATGGCAGGACGGCCTCATCCTTATGACAGTAACTCCAGTGATCCAGAGAATTGGGATCGGAAATTGCATAATAGACCTCGTAAACTTTGTAAACACTCAAGGTAGGTGCTGCGTCCCATCTATTGCATCTCAAAATCTGCACTCAAAGTCCATCCTAAAGGCTACTGTATCTGGTTGTGGCAAGTCCTGTCATAAACGTTGTAATTCTTCAACGAATGCTTCTTAATTATTTTCAAAGGTGTTTTCAGGCCTGATTTGTCAGCTTCCCAATCTGTGTTTAGATTTGTTTTGCCATGGGTTGCATTTTAGTCCTTTAAAAAAAAAAAAAAAAACAACAAAAAAAGCAAACCTAAATGCCTTGTGTGCATATCAAAACACCGGTTGAGTGATTAAATATATGAATTTTTTGGGGGTGCTTGCTAGGAGTTACAACCCTAAAAATATGTGCAGCTAGTCCATGGTGAGAGCTAATAATTGCTTGCATGCCAGTATCACTTTCTGTAGCACTTTCTTTGTTAAGCTGTGTGTCATATCTTGCTTTTGCCTGCATCCCTCACAGTAAGAATGTTGTTTTGAAATGCTTCTTGATTTGACAAAATGATGAAATTAATTAGTGTTTTTCCAGTGTACAGTGTTCAAAAATGAACTAAGCAAAGCAGTTAGTCACCTTGCAAATGTATGAGAAGAAACATATTGCTGGAAAGATATTTAAGCATCCAAATAAGTGTGTATCTTTCAAGTACTTTGCCCTTTTAGAAGTGCTAAATATAACTGAAACATCTCTGTAAACGAGCTAAAATTGTTGGTTGTTCAAGCTTTCCTACTGGCAAGATGATAGGGAAAGAGCTAAGGAGCATATTCACTACCATTCCACATTTTACTTGTATGGATGCAGATAAACTGGACTCAAGTGCTGTCCAAAGAATTCTCTAGGCAATTAATACTGTGGGTTATTTTCCTGCCATTAATTCCTCAATGATTGTGAGAAATTCAAGAGGGCAGGACAAAAGAATGCAGCAGTAATTAAAAGGCTCACAGGGAGAGCCATGTAATTAGAGGCCTGTGCTGTGAATAATGGAGTGGTTAAGGCAGACCCGAGGAGGGTGGCTGGTGCTGCAGGTCAGGGAAGGTTTGAGGGGTGTAGCTGATGTTTTTATTCAGGGAAGGTTTGAGGGGTGTAGCTTTATAGGGCTGGTGTTTTTATTCAGGGAAGGTTTGAGGGGTGCAGCTTTATAGGGCTGGTGTTTTTATTCAGGGAAGGTTTGAGGGGTGCAGCTTTATAGGGCTGGTGTTTTTATTCAGGGAAGGTTTGAGGGGTGTAGCTTTGTGCAGCTGATGTTTTTATTCAGGGAAGGTTTGAGGGGTGTAGCTGATGTTTTTATTCAGGGAAGGTTTGAGGGGTGCAGCTTTATAGGGCTGGTGTTTTTATTCAGGGAAGGTTTGAGGGGTGTAGCTTTGTGCAGCTGATGTTTTTATTCAGGTGCTGTGTCTGGGGGTGGCTGATGCAGCTCTGTTTTTAGGATTCCAGTGTGGCACAGCCTCGGCAGCGAGCAGGGTGTGTGGGATGGGCTTTGTGTGCAGTGAGGGCTGGGCAGTGCCCCCATGGTTCCTGCTGAGCCCAGGCCAGGTGGTGACCAGGGACTGGAACAGAACCTGAAACTGTTCTGGGACAGATGAGCCTGAGGGGGCTGCTGGGAGCTGAAAGGGGCAGCGAGGTCTGAGGGGTCTGACACCTGCAAACCCCCGGGTGCTCTGTGGGACCCAGTTCAGCAGGGAGCCAAGGACATGGTTGAGTTTGTCACCTGCCGAGGACATGGCACTGCCCCCACAGGGAGGGCAGGGATCACAAGTCTCCAGCAACATGTGGGCAGTGGAGTTACTGCAAGTCTGGTGTCAGCAGTTCAGAATTGCCTCTAATCAACAACTTCCCTGAAGGTCCAGAAGCTGCTGAGTATCTTGTGAGACAGGGAGAACCCAAAGGTTAAAGAATGACTCCTTGATCAGTCACAGAAATGAGGGTGATGAGCTGGAGGCAGCAGGCAAGTTTGAAATAAAGTGTGGGAGCTGCAGCTGGGGAAATCCAAGCCAGAGGAACAGGACACATGTCTGACCATGTGTGGTCTGGGGTGGATTATCTGTGTTGGGGAAATGTTTCAATAAAAAGCTCTGCAGCTTTCTGCAAAGATTATTTGATGCACATAGGAGTTAACTCCGTGGCCTGTGCTTTGCAGAAAAGCTGCTGTTGATCTTTTCATGCAATCTCAATTCAAGGGTCACACATCAAAAGGTAGGAAGTCTATGCCTCAGAGATAATTGCAGCTATTGCACATATTTCTGGCAAAACACAATTTGTTTCCAGTGGTGAACAGCATTTTTATGGAAGCTGTATGCTAGGGATATAGTACTCAAGCTAACATCTGATCATTTAAATCTTTTTCCCCAAATAAAGTGGTTTTGGAAGTCTTTGAGAATGAGAATCTAAATAATAGTTTGACATTGTAATGGAATAAGGGATAAAAAAGGATAAATATTTTGTTACCTTATTCCTTTGAGATACTGGATTACTTCAGAGAATCTAATTATTGGAAAATGGTGTGCTTTATTTCAAAGCCTGAACAAAATAATTGGATTTTGTGTGGCTGAATATGGACATATTATTGTAGTTTCTGACTTGAGACTTTTTCATCCAGACAAGTGAAAGTCTATGTAAAAAATTCAGTGTGAGGGCAAAAATGCATCTGGAAGCATAAGTTGTAATAGTATAACTAGAACTGTTATGTTAAAAGGTTTGAGTGCTCCAGTCTTTTGTCTTACTCAAAATACGCTTTGTTATCATCAAGAAAGAGAATATTTCTGGTTTGGAAAACATCATGGTGAAATAAGAGCTTTGTAATGAATAATCTCAACAAAGGAGTAATATAGGAGATAGATTTTTAGCTTGTCACTTCTTGGTGCTTTGGAGTGTTTAATCCTTCAGCCTTAACGTTCTTAAAATAGCTTAGATAATTTTCTTGACTCATAGAAAACATAATCTAGGGCTGTGAGCAGCCCTGTGTGTGGGGCTGGTGTGGCAGCAAGGAGAGCCATGGGTCTGTTTGGGGACAGGGACGAGGGGCAGAACTGTCCAAAGGGGAATGGGCTGAATCCTTGTACAGGTCAGCATTATCTCCTGCTCTTTCTAGTCTAGAGAGTGTCCAGTGTTTTGTACTGGTGTTTTCTCTCCTCCTGCTTCTTTCTTGTTCTGAGATGGGCAATGGAATGGAAAATTCAGAAGGGAGAGATGTGGAAAATTAGGACTGAAAATATAATGCATATGATCCCTGGTATAAATCTGCAGAGCCTGTCAGGGTGAATTTATATGGTGTTGGAGATGACTAAATAATCATACAAACAGTCTTGTTTGTCTAAGCTATTACAGAAAATTCTTGCAGATGCTTTTTAGTTAAGTACCTGAATAAGATGGAAACAAATGTGCAGGAGCCATACATTGAATTAACAGTGGTTAAGGTTTAAATAAATGGTCTCTGAATTCATACTTTCGTTATTAGATGTTGCTTTTCTGTACTTTTTATTCTAATTTTCATCAGTTATTAGTTTCACACATGTGATTTCTCTGTAGTGTTGGAGTTTTTGTTGTTGAAAGACTTTAATTCTAATTCTCTTGCACTGAGTGCTTTTTCTAGAGTTGCAGTGCAAAACCTTTGGCTTAAATTTGCCTCTTCAGGATTTGTCCTGGATTTTTCTAAGTCTGCTTCTGTTTTAGTCTCTTTTGACAGTTTCTTATTTGTTCATTCTGTTTAGATATTATTAGATCCAAAGTCTTGCCTGCACTACTGCATTTATGAACAAAATGTGATTCTGCTTTGATTCTGTTGCCATGACTCTTGGATCTTCAGTTGCTTTTTAAATCTTGTAAATAGATGAGAAGTTGTTGTGCAGATGCTAAATGCTGGGATTTTTTCCCCCAGTGTTGTTTATGCCTGCTGGGAGGATGCATTCATGGGTTGTGAATGGGAGTACCACGTGTCTCAGCATTTTGTAAAGTGCATGAAGCATCACCAGAAGAGTTCCTTTCTCATCTGTGGAAGGATATCAGAATGTATAATCTGTTTTCCACTGTGGGACAGGTTTTATTTCTCTTGCTGTGATTTCTGCAGTTGAACATTTTGCAGCATGGGGCAGGCCTGCACAAGGCAGGGCATGAAAATAATGAGGCCTGATTTACCAGGGGCCCAAGTCGTACTGTGCATCCCTGCTTTCAGTCTCTGCAAACATGCTAATTGCAGCCTGGCACTGGCAGATCTAAATCTCCTCATCCAGCCTTTGTAGGCACCAGCATGGAAAACCCTCAGGAGAAACTGAGGAGTGCTGGGAAGAGCTGCTCTTGGAATGCAGAAAAATGGGCTGCACTCAGTGAGAGCTTTCCAAAACACCACTCTGTTCATCTTCTGCAGGGTACCCGGTGTGTAGTGAGTGATCTTAGACTTGTGAGGACTGGGCTTTTGATTTCCTTTTGACATCCTTCATGTCTGCATGACAGCTTATTGACACTGCTGAGAAGGGAAACTTGGTGACTTCCAGGGCTAAAGCACACACTAAATCCTGCTGAGCTTCTTCAGCACCCAAACTGCCTTTCCCAAATGTTGTCAGATATTATTTGTGGTCAGATATATTTTGGCACATTTAATTGGGACACAAAGCACTTCAGAGGTGATTATGCTCAGAACTAGAATTTTTTTATGGACAACACTTCATTGTTTGTTCCTCTGAGACCAGAAACTGTAATGGCTACATAGTTTGTGTTTGGTTCCAGTTCTTTTCAATTTGAACTTCTAAAGCTGTTTTTTAACAAATGGAGGCCCTTTCCAGTTCTAAGGAGGATAATATTGCTCTGAGTTTCTTAGTTTGATTTTTATTTAACTTCCATGTTGACAATGCAGCAGAAATTGGTATAAGATTCTTTTATGGAAGTCTTGTGTTTGGGAGCATGGCAGAAGTCATAAGGTGTGAATGTGCTCCCTCCTAAAGGTTAAGTCCTTGCTGCTTTAAGAAATCCCTTTGGCAACTGAACACTCTGCTCATGAGATCCTTTCCTGAAATG